TCTTACAGCATGATAAACTAACATATTTTTACAAGAGACGAGAAAAAAAAATATATTCTTTTTTTTTGGGACACCCTAATACATATATATTTATTTACATATATTAATTTTCAAAAGCTATTATTTTTATAAACTATTATATAATAGACGTTTTTTTTATAATAAAAAAAACATTAATATTATTTTTTGAACCTGTCCGTGAATATTAAATCATTAAATACCTTTAAAAAATTAGCTGTTTAGCCAGTTAGCCGTTAGCTAGTTAGGTGAGCTAAGCTAGATTAACTGGTTAAGCTGCCAGCTAATTAGCTAAGCTAATTTAGTAAACCAGTTAAATTAACTAATCTGATCAGTTAGCTAGCTAATTAACTTAGCTAACTTTTTTAGTTGGCTTAACCGGCTAAACTGTACAGCCCTAGTACATTACAATATAAAATTATAAATAACAGTTTTGAGAAAATAAACACCTTCATTTTATAAATAAGTATGTTTTTCCACGTAAACCGTTTCTGTTAATAAATTGTCCCCACGGTTTACAGTGATCGGGACAGTTGCATATGGTGCTTTGTCAGGAGAATTTGTTCCTTAACAATTGTACAGGGTGGTCCACGTAAGGTGACCCATATACTTATCTCAGAAACTACTGGAGTCACAAAAAATTTGTAAGAAACAAATATTCACGAAGTAAAAAATATTTTTAAAATATTATATTTTCATTTATACAGGGTGTTCGATTTTCCTTGGGACGATACCAACTTTCTTATTTTCAATGGAACACCCTGTATTTTTTTGCATTTTTGGATTCTACCCACTCTTTTAGGTATACTTTGTAAATATATTAATTAAGAAAATGTTAATACTTTTTGAGTAAAATTAAGATTTATTAAAATTTCTCTAAATGTAGACACTCGCTAAAAGTTAAAAATAATCAACTAAAAGTTATTATTTTTTATATTATGTAGTATCCATCTCTTTAATAATAAGTAAGCTATAAGTTAATTATTATATTTTTTGGAAAATATCATACAGGGTGTTTTCTATGTCCCGTTGAAAATAGCGATTTTAAAAGTTTAAAATCTTGTTTTTCTTCAATGGAACACCCTATATATTTTTGCATAATTGGATAGAATAAGTAATTACCTTTTATTTTATATATATATGTCCTATACCTAAACCTAACAGAAAAAAAATATTCGCATTTTTCACAATTAGTAGCTTTTTTCCAATTACCTTAGTTAAATTTTCATTATTCAAATAAATAAATTTCAATAACAACAAATAAAAATGCTTTTATATATAAATATATATTACTATAATAATTACCATACGCGCAAAGCTACTAATTTTGTAAAATGCGAATATTTTTTTTAGGTGATCCACGTAAGGTGACCCATATACTTATCTCAGAAACTACTGGAGTCACAAAAAATTTGTAAGAAACAAATATTCACGAAGTAAAAAATATTTTTAAAATATTATATTTTCATTTATACAGGGTGTTCGGTTTTCCTTGGGACGATACCAACTTTCTTATTTTCATTGGAACACCCTATATTTTTTTGCATTTTTGGATTCTACACACTCTTTTAGGTATACTTTGTAAATATATTAATTAAGAAAATGTTAATACTTTTTGAGTAAAATGAGGATTTATTAAAATTTCTCTAAATGTAGAAATTCGCTAAAAGTTAAAAATAACCAACTAAAAGTTATTATTTTTTATATTATGTAGCATTCATCTCTTTAATAATAAGTAAGCTATAAGTTAATTAATTTATTTTTTGGAAAATATTATACAGGGTGTTTTCTTTGAATAATGAAAATTTAACTAAGGTAATTGAAAAAAAGCTACTAATTGTGAAAAATGCGAATATTTTTTTTTCTGTTAGGTTTAGGTATAGGACATATATATATAAAATGAAAGGTAATTACTTATTCTATCCAATTATGCAAAAATATATAGGGTGTTCCATTGAATAAAAACAAGATTTTAAACTTTTAAAATCGCTATTTTCAACGGGACATAGAAAACACCCTGTATGATATTTTCCAAAAAATATAATAATTAACTTATAGCTTACTTATTATTAAAGAGATGGATACTATATAATATAAAAAATAATAACTTTTAGTTGGTTATTTTTAACTTTTAGCGAGTGTCTACATTTAGCGAAATTTTAATAAATCCTCATTTTACTCAAAAAGTATTAACATTTTCGTATTTAATATATTTACAAAGTATACCTAAAAGAGTGGGAAGAATCCAAAAATGCAAAAAAATACAGGGTGTTCCATTGAAAATAAGAAAGTTGGTAACGTCCCAAGGAAAACCGAACACCCTGTATAAATGAAAATATAATATTTTAAAAATATTTTTTACTTCGTGATTATTTGTTCCTTACAAATTTTTTGTGACTCCAGTAGTTTCTGAGATAAGTATATGGGTCACCTTACGTGGACCACCCTGTACAACATAAATACAGGTAAAATCTTCATTTAAAAAGTTTACTTATTCGAAATGTCGCTTGATAATCAGGCCACCACAATACACGCGTGGACCCCTTGAAAATGATACGTTTTTTAAACGTATGTCGGTAAATCGGTTTTTGACATTCATCATTGATGACGCAATTTCAAACATTCGCCGCGACGACTATACAATCGGAAGGAACATTGTCGGCCGACTGTATCTTATTCTAAGAACACTGGTCAAAATAGCATCTAATGCAGTTTCAATAGCTTCTGGTTATTGTGCAGCTTTTTTAATTATAAAAAATAAAAAAACAAAAAGATGCTGGTGGCCAAAAAAGGTTCTAGGATAAATTTCATGGCAATGGCTTAAGCCTGGTTCTAACAGAAAAGTAATTTAATTTAACTTAAAAGTTAAAAACCCAACAATCCCCATCCACAATAAAATTCTTAAAGAAACATAAATTATATACAGTGTAGTTGAGTAAAGTGCGGTGCGAAACAGTGCTATTTTGGGACTATTCAAAGTCCCGTCCGTTACGCTTTAAATTATTAGTTTTTAAGGAATTAAACAGTCAACCACGATACCTAATTTTGCCAAATAAAAAGCTTGTTAAACAGCTTTAGTTTAGAACTATTTATAAAAATTTGACATTGGTAATATAATAGAACAATATTATTTTGTAAATAAAAACACGGCAACTGTCCTATCCGTTACGCGTGGAATGGCCCAGAGGGACTTACGGCGGGACGTGACCGTCAACACTAAAGACAAGATTCAGTACCTCACAGGGGGGCAAACAATTCTAAAGAGGTTACCAGGAACCGGAAACACACTAGGACAGAGACGTTTAGAAGTTCACCAACAAGGACAGGTTCTAGCAGCGTACTAACACCCTGACCCCCATTCATGAATCCCAATTGAATGGGGTTATTACTAAGACCCAGGTTGAGGAGGATTCCGGATTGTACTCATCATTCATATAGTGATGTAATTTAAGACTTAATTTAATAGTTGGCCAACTTTCATCTTTTAAATTAAATTACGTTATTTCAAGGTTATTTGGTATTATCTAACCTATTTTGGGAGAACCTAACCTATTTTGTGTAAACGGTTTTAAAAATAAGAAAACACAGTGACTAGAGGCACGCTAACGTACCGCGAATGAAAATATTAAAGGCACGTTATTTACGTCATAATTATAATCCGTTTTTGTTCCCCGAGCGTTTAATATTTGATATCAAGCTAGATAGCTCATATGGTAGGGCGGTCGCTTGGCATGCGAGAGGTCCCGGGTTCGATACTAAGAAGTTGTCGTACTTTTTTTATTTTTTATTTCATAAATTTGTTGTTTCTTTGTTAAACAGTGTTCGGTTGGGTTGGGTTGGTTGGTTTGTTTTAGTTTTATCGTAACATAAAATCTACTAGAAGTTGTCAAACTTTTTTTATTTCATAAATTTGTTGTTCCTTTGTTAAAAAGTGTTTTATTTTTATCGTAACGTAAATTTGCCCATTTTAGTTGGGTTTTTTGTTCAATGGGGCGGGGGGGGCCAATGGGGTGGGGTCGGTTGGGTTGTGTTGTTGAGTTTGGGATGGTTTGGGTTTATGACGTAACTAACGTGCCTTTAACATTTCAAATCGCGGCACGTTAGCGTGCCTCTAGTCACAGCGATAAGAAAAATATTTCGATTGTAATTACCAAAGTAAGCCATACATATCTAAAACTTTAAGTTTTAGATACATGAAGTAAGCACTCTAAAATATTGTTTTTAATTTCAAACACTATTAAATTACGTTACTTTTTGTATGAACGCAAGTTAATTAAATTAAATTACTTTTAAAGTTAAATTAAATTAAGTAATTTCTCTGTTAGAACCCAGCTTTAATAAATGAAAGTGGTTCCTGTAATTTTTGAAAATCTAATGTAAATTGTTAATTTAAATTTACTGATCCACCAACTAACCTTAAGCATCAAGAAAAATATCATGATATCATGTTTAAAAATTAAATTCATTTATCTAGTCCTCTAAACTTGTACACATCTTCCTATGTTTTGCATTTAAAGCGGAAAGCAAGCAACTTTGCGATTTCCTTGATAAAATGCCAGCCAATGTTGTGTCTGCTTCAAATTTTCAACTCAAGAGCCAAAAAAAAGGTAGTCTGCCGACAATTTTTCCACTGATTGTATCCAAGACCATGCAGTGGACCAAAATATTTTTAAAGTTTTTTGTTTTAAATATGCAAGAGCTATTGACATTGCCTCATTTAAATACTGATTAGGCTAAACAATTTAGTTTTTACAAATATATCATCTCCATTGCCAAAACATTTTTTAATAAATCTATAAAATATTAAGATAATCAGGCCAATTCACTAACATAAGTCGTTAACGATAGCCACTAGAATTAGTGGTTATCGTAATATTTAATCGACCTAATTGGCCGGTTTGGCAGATAACCACTGATTCTAGTGGCTAACGTTAACCACTTCTGTTAGTGAATTGGCCTGATTAAATAGGTATTATATTTACTTTCTTCTGGTTTACAATTCCTTATATAAAAATGCATTTCAACAAACAATGGCCCATTTGTATGTGGTTCCTAAAAATTGATTTGTTTAACTCAATGTTTGGGTAATAAAGTAATGAACTTACAATTTTTATAACATTTTGATACTCCTTACTACTTGTTTCGAATGGTTTTGCAGAATAAATTTCTCCAAAGCCTCCTTTTCCAATAGATATACCAAGTTTCCATTTTTTATTACTTTTGTCAGTTAAAATTTCACCTTTTGGTAGAGGTTCACAAAATTTATAACCATTAGACGATTTTTTCGGTGGCATTTTAAAATTTAAACAAATACTTCTTCTTTCTTCTTTAACAATTTATTCTCCCCACATAGTATATGGAGAAAATTGATCTTGAGTCTTCTGAACTCTTACTGACCAGCCACGAATACATTCACTGTTTACATTAACAATCTGAAAACTTTGGAGGTTAACTTAAATGGCGCGATAAAAATATCATTCACACCAACCGTTTTATAGTGCAGAAACCAAACTAGAGGCAGCGTTGCCAATTTGCCAGTAATTACTGGCATTTGCCTGGAATAAAGCTCCTTGCCAGTAATTCAAATTTAGGAGAGTTCAAATGCCAGGAATTGGTTAATTTACTGTGTTAGTTAAAATACAATAATTATGTATTAACCCTGAATTATACATTGCTTTCCTTCCTTCCCGTAGTCGTGCCCGAACGATTTGTGTGTCTTGTAAAAAGTCAATTTATAGATTTCCGTGTAAAATTCCGTAATCATGCGCGATGACACCTAAAATGGTTGACATTTGATTTTGTTTATATTCTGCGTTTTACCCATTGTGTTTAAATATGAAAGATAATCATTTACTTATGTTCTGTGATCATTTATATATTAGTGCAGTGATCACAATTTTTTGTATACTGCCCAACTATGGAGAAAGGCAGTATGCTAATTTCCCACAAATTTCTTGTTTAGCAGTTATAACTGCTAAACAAGAAATTTTACATTTACATTTTTATAAAAAGCAGTAGGTAGGTAACTGATTTAACTTAAAAGATAGCTTACTGCATTTCTTTGTTGAATTAAGATACAAAATGTCCATAGCTTTATCATAGCACAAGAAAACGCATTTGTAGTTACTGCCTTTCTCCATAGTAGGGCTGCCCTACTAGGGCAGTATAATGAAAAAAAACATCGAACAAGACGTTGGAAGACCGGGAAACTAGGGGGTTTCTAAAAATATATTTTTATAAAAGACATTGATCATAAACAATATCTAAATATCCTATTTAGAGACACAAATTTATTTTGTGCCTACGCGCTGTCACCCTAGTAGGGTGACCCTCAGTGTTACCAACAGCATATGGATATTTTCTCCGCCTATCCCAACAAAATTCTCCGCTTTTCGGTCAAATTCTCCGCATCATAAAATCAGTAACAAACAAAAATGAATATTCTTTTTTTATGAAAATATTGTAAATTTAGTAAAATATTATAGTCGAATATTATAGTAGAATCGTCAATCAACGGTAGAATTATTTAACTATAATATTTTGATATATTTTCAATATTTTATTGGTTCATTTAGCAATATTTAAAAATTGCCACTAAAATTGTGTGAATAACAAGTTTTGTACTATGTAGGTTAGGGAGTAAAGGTAAAAACAACAATAAAAATAAAAATATCTCTTTATTAATTAAATAAAACTAAACAAAAGTTTAACGCAATTTGCGATCGAACAATGGGAAATAAACAGAAATAGACCATATTACAAAAAATAAACAACATATTACAAATTAACAACATTGTTGTAACCTTTAAAACGTCAAAATAAAGGCTTAGGATTCTTCGTTAACGATCGATCGTTCTAAATTCAAACTTCGAATGTGGACACCAGTGTTGCCAGGTCAAAGTATATTTTTTCCATAAAACTTTTTATAAATGGTTTTTTCAGTATACCATTTACTAACATTTTAGTAGACCTGGCAACGCTGCGTAACACCAGTTACGTTGTTGCCAATTGCACAACCGACTATTGAAATAAAGCGGGAAGTACGTCAAACTATAAATGATTCTGTGGACGATTGCAGGTTTATCTTATGAATGGGAACTGCAACGACCATTAAATTCTCCGCAAATTCTCCGGCAAAATCAATTCTCCGCAACATTCTCCGCAGACCCTCAAATTCTCCGAAAAGCGGAGAATTCTCCGCTGATTGGCAACACTGGTGACCCTACAGCGCATGTCCATAACAAGCACTGTGATTGGTCATGTCAAAGACTTTACCATGGAGCCTATACAAGGAGCCCGAACTTCATGTAAACAAGAATCTTCCTAAGATAAGAGGGCGCTGGTGTACTACCGGCCCAAAACAGTAGAGGGGTATAACCAGAGATGGCGCCACTACCTACCACTTATTATTGTGGAAATAATTGAGGTTATGCAACTGTCAGTTTATCGCTTTCTGAAAACAATGTACTCATGTACCTGGTTTTGTGTATAAAGGTCTTAATTTACAATAAATTTATATCAAATTTAACCTTGGAATTCATGTTGGACTTTCTGATGTAGAGTATAGTACAGTTTTTTATAAATACGTGTTTTTTTTCTATAAAAGAATGTCGTGTGATGCTAAATCGTGTAAAACTAACAGAATATTAAATCCATATGCTATTTATTTTTAGTTTTATAGGTAGATGGCTTAAATAAAAGTTCAATATAAACAAATAAAGGTGGAAATTATTAAATATGCTGTTTACTCATTTTATACATACTTTTTTATTTAAATTAAATTTAAATTATTAAATAGCGGTGTATTTCTAACCTGGAAATCTAATTTTGCTTCTCCAGAGTCGTAAAATCACTCCACAGATTATAAAGAATCACTTATATTTCACAACCAAAACCTATTTATTTTGCTTCTCCAGAGTCGTAAAATCATTTCACAGATTATAAAGAATCACTTATATTTCACAACCAAAACCTATTCACAGATCATAAAACTTATTATAAAACCTATTTATTAGCATCTACCTACCAGGTACAGCCATAAATAACAAAACGATTCGTACGTCAAAACATTATTGCAAATCAATTGTCAAAACTTACTTGCTTACTTCACATGTATTTTTGATACTTATTTTCACGTCATACGGGCGCATTGACAAACAGCGCCGCTGGTGGTGAAAAAAAAAGACTTAATTTGTGCAATTTAGTGGACAGGTTTTGTCAATTTTCCCTATTAAGTTCGGGCTCCTTGTGTAGGCTCCATGGACTTTACGGTGAAAGATAAAACTTAAAAATTTCTACGGGAGGAAGGAAGCAGTCCTTATGGTACGGGAATCTATAACAAGCACTACGATTTAAATAAACATTTTTGACGTAATTGTCACCATTAACATTGCCGTTATTAATTTTAATTAAACTTAACAATTATTGATACTTTAAAATATTAAAATAACTTCAAAATATGATTTTGTTAAGAAAATATGTTATCCTTTGATTTTTTTTTATTACTATAAAGCTGGATTTATAGTTTTAAAGGCCGTATTACAGCCGGCAATTCTTTCGGCAATTGCAATGAAAATTGCCGTAGGCATGCGCGGTAGATACATTTCGACGAATCTCTTGCAATTGCCGAAAATCGGTCCGGATGGACTTTTATTGCCGTTTTACGGCAATTCTGGGGTGAAATCTGGTAACTTTTATGTTACCAACCCTACTACAAATTCCCTAGAGAGACGCTGTTTGAGGTTATTTGTTTTATCATTGACATTTTGTTCAAAGTTCTAGTATCCATTTTACTCATTAATTTTGAAATATCTCTACTAAATAACAAATAATCTTAGTGTTTACCAAGTCGTATATTTTTCTTCGGTTGGTAGCACGGTAATAAACAGCAAGTTTTCTTGCCATTGCCGGCTGTAAAACAACATGCAAGACGGCCTTGAAAAATAGATGGCAAGAATAATTGCTGCAAGAAGAATTGCCGGCTGTAATACGGCTTTAAAGGTAACGGTAGAGGCAGCGGTAAAGGTAGCGGTAGAGGTAGCGGTAGCCGAGTTCGGCATTGATTATTATATGAAACAATTTATAGTTGTCAAAGGTAGCGGTAAGGGAGGTAGAGGCAAGAACGTAGCGGCAAGAAATTACCATCTTTCATCTTTTCTTACCTCAACCGCTAATCCAGCCAATCACACGGCAGTTTTCAGTTGGCAGTCTCGCCTTGTTAGTTTAGTTTTTATGCGAGGGGCAACCAGACTTGATAAATTGTCAAAAATGGGCACCGTCATTTGTGTATTTAAAGAACTGCTCTTTATCAGTCAGTTTTATTTTTTTTAATACTGGAAATGGCTTTTCTTAGCTCGTTCTCGATTTAATTCCCTCGTTTTATAGCGACGTCCTTGACGACCCCCATAACGTACTTGAAACCCTGCAATACAACATAATACGCGAAAAAACGACTTATAGTTGTTTTTTCGCGTAAATACCATGAAATACTATGGTCATTAAACTTAACCTTGGTTAATAGTTAAGGCATTTTTGCGTTTAGAGTGCGTTCAAAAATCCTAACTATGACGTCACAAATACCAGACCATAAAACTATATCGCTGAGCTAGTTATTCAACGTGGTTAATAGTCTTTCTCTTTTTAATATATATATTTAATATGTTTATGTAGGAATAATGTTGTGTGCTAAACATATCTTCTCCAAAACATACCGCCAACCTTCGTCTTTTTCTTTGGGGTTCCATTTTAAATTTTGAGTTTCACAATAATAATTTTCGTATAAACGTTAAACACTGTTGGATTTTAGTTATGGTAAACAACAGTGAAGAACTGTTTATATATAAAAAGAGGTATAGAAAAGGTAGGTATAAGAACTAGGGTTCATAGAAAAAGAATATACAAGGTAAAAGAAGAGGCAAAGAAATTTATTTACACCTGTAAAAGCATAGAAATTAAATATAAATAGGTAAAAACACATTTCAAAAATTATAGGTTATGAACAATTGTTCACCACAAAACTAGAAGGTTCACTTAAGTAAACAAATGTCAAATGTTAGAAACTGTGACATCATGACCCTAGACCTAGGATCATGACTTATTTAACCGTAGTATTTCATAGTATTTACGCGAAAAAACGACTATATTGTATATATAATATATAGACCTATCCCATAAAACAGACTTTTGGATAGCGCGTGCCTGAGGAAGAGTGGTATCTCTTTCTCTTTTATGTAATTAAAAAAAGACGACGTGCCTTTTCACGCACGCGCTATCCAATAGTCCGTTTTATGGGATAGGTCTATTGTGTTGCAGGGTTTATTATATAATATATATATAATATTTCGCACAACGCCATATGGCCCAGAAGCACAGCACTGTCCTCGCAATTCATGTTTTCATAGAAAACTTAACCTTTTGCTATTAAATTTTAG